GGGCCCCCCCCGCCGGTGAGCCCCGCTGCCCCCGCCCGCGTCCCCCCCCCGCGGGGTCCCACCGAGCCCCCACGCGGGGGTCGCGCCCACGGATGCCGGAAGCCGGGCGGGTGCCGCGGGGAGGGGACGGGGGTGACACAGGCCACACAGTTGCATCACCAGTGGTTGAGCAAGCGTCGCAGCCGGGGCACCTCCCGGTGAGGTCCCTCCGAGATTTGGGGGGTCCCGGTACCTTGGCACGGCTCCAATCTCAGTGCCCCACTGTGGCCCCGAGGGGACAGGGACGAGTGGCCCCATCTCTGGGGACTTGGTGGCCCCAGTCTGCCAGGGGCTCTGGTGCCCCCAGGACCCGGACGTGGCCGGTGCAGGCACCGGCTGCCCCATGGGGATGCCGTCACTCTGCACCCGGGGGGTGGGTGGCCCCGGTCCCCCCGGCTCCAGGCAAGGAGCAGGTCCGGGGCCGGGGGAGGTGGGTGATGGCGGGCGCGGGGTGCCCATCCCGCAGTGCCCCAGGTGCTGAGGAGCTGCACCGAATTCGTGGAGCAGCACGGGGTGGTGGACGGCATCTACCGCCTGTCGGGCGTCTCCTCCAACATCCAGCGGCTGCGGTGAGCGGGGCCAGGCGGGAGGGAGACGGGATGGGGATGGAGGGGATGGAGGCGGAATGGAGACGGAGCAGATGGGATGGAGACAGAGACAGGAGCAGCTGGGATGGAGACAGGATGGAGATGGAGGCAGGAACAGATGGGATGGAGATGGAGACGATGGAGATGGAGCCAGGAGCAGGTGGGATGGAGATTGGAAGCAGAGGGGGCTGGGATGGAGCTGGAGACCAGATGGTATCAAATGGGAGGAAAACAGGAGGGAGACGGGTGGGAGGTGGGGCTGGGGTGGAGATGGGAGCAGAGAGGATGGAGGTGGAGCGGGGAGGATGCAGGGCTGCGACCGGATGGGAGGGAGGTGGGACCAGGTGGGATGGAGATGGGACGAGGCAGGATGGAGATGGGAAGGGGACCGGGAAACGGGACCAGAGAGGACAGAAACGGGGATGGGCGGAGGCAGGACCAGATGGGATGGGGACAGGGATGGGCCGGACACGGGACCAGATGGGATGGAGGTGGGACAGAGCCAGGGGTGGGACAAGACAGGACCAGGCGGGAAAGCGGTGGGAGAGGACGGGGATGGGATGGGACCAGGCGGAGGGAGATGGGGACGGGACGGGGACGGGACGGGGACGGGAGGGGGACGGGCACAGCCGGCGCAGGAGCCGACCTCGGTGCTGAGTTGGCCGGATCCGGCCCCGCCGCGCCTCCTGTGCCCCACGGCCCCTTCCTTCCCCGTGCTGCGCTCCCGCAGCTCTCGGCTCCATCCTGCTCCGTGCTGCTGCGGCCCTTCTTTCCCTTGTTCCCTTTCTTCCTTTTTTCTTCTGTTTATTTTCTTTTTTATTCTTTCTTTCTTTTTCTCTTTCATTCTTTCCATATTTGGTCTGGTTTTTCACTCTTCTTCTCTTTCGGTTCTTTCCTTGAGTGTTTCTTTCCTCCCCTTTTTTCTGTGTCTCCACGAACCCCAGCATTGCCAGCATCCCCTGGGTCTGCAGTGTCCCCAACAGCCCCAGTGTCCCCCACACTCTCATATCCCCGGCGTTCCTCAACAGCCCCAGGGTCCCCAGCATCCCCCTGTGCCCCACGTTCCCACATCCTCCATGTCCCTGTATCACTGGCACCCGCAGCATCCCCCTGTCCCCACCATCCCCCCTGTCCCCAACCATCTCC